ATCGGGATGGGGATCGGGATGGGGATCGGGATCGGGATCGGGATCGGGATGGGGATCCCGATCGGGATGGGGATCCCGATCCCTGGGGTCGCCTCAGCGCCGCCTCAGCCGAGGGGGCAGAGCGGGCTCCGGCCCCCAGGTGAATTCCTCGCTCTTCTCCCGCCGCAGCCCTGCGCCATGCAAGCAGGCGGCTTCGACGACTCTGACGAAGACGCCGCTGAGGAGGACCTGAGGCCGCTCCCAATCTCCTGGTGAGACGCGCCTCGCGGCGGGCCCGGGTATCTTCCCTCAGAAACTAAACGGGAGTTTGCATTAAATCCCGCCTCTGCAAAACGGGAGGTCTTTTTCCTGAAGGAAACCTGTGCTGGGCTCTCGTGACTTGCTAGGACAAGGACAGAGCTTGTGGTTGGCCTGATGGTGCTTCTGAAAAGGGATTAAGTTGGTGCTGGTGAACTGCCAGTGGATGTGGAGCCAAGTCTGCTTTTGGAAGCATTTATTAGTTACTGTCGGCTCTGGTAGCCCAAATGTCTAGGTGCTAAGGCAGGGATTTGTCAACACTTCTCCCTTCCTCTTGGGCAGGGGTATGTGATGAAGTACACTACCAAACGTGTGATTCCCTTGTCTGATGTTCTAGGAATAACACTGGAATACTTCTATTTTATTCTTAAAATTGAATTATAGGTAGGTAACTCTTCTCACGGTCCCATAGAAAAGGAATGTCTGGTAGTGAGTTATCTCTTGACAGTGAGTTATCTCTAGTCAAATAATAAAAAGTCCTGGTTTTATTTATTCATTTTTCATTTCCCAAAAGGCTGTCTTTGTCACCTGTCTACTCTTCCAAATTCGTGGGACTATGTTCCCTTCCAGGTAAGAAGCATTCACTGAAATGTGCACACATGTTTGAAGCTGAAGAGAGGTACTATCTTGTAACCCAAAATTCTGTGTTCCATTTACTTGGTGGTGTGACTTGTTTTTTTAATCTACCGCTGGAATAATTGTTTGGAAAATACCAAAGCTAATCAAGGAGTATCTTAATGTAAGACTATACGGTAAGAGAATAGTGGCCATCTTCCACTATCAGTTAAAATATTTGGCTTCTTAGCCTGGCTTACTAGTTATAACAAGCAACAACAGTGCAACAAGACTGCTTTGGCAAATAATTCATTTATAAGATATATTGGGCTCAAATTACACTCACTCATTGTGCTGACAGTTCTGTACTGCTCTCCCTTAGCATCTGGATTGCACTACCATGGCCATGTTATAAAAATAAATATATAAAATTTCACTGTATTTTTAACTGCCAAAACTGCAGCCACAGTGAACCTCCTTTGGTCACAAAAGAGATAGAACTGCTGGTGGTGA